TGTGTGTGTGTGTGTGTGTGTGTGTGTGTGTGTGTGTGTGTGTGTGTCTTCCAGCTAAGCTACATCCTTATCCCTTGTCTGTCCCTCTGAGCCTTGGTTTCCAGTGAAAAAGAGAAGGGTGGGGTGCATTCATTCTGTACAGCCAGGAAGGGGCTTAGGCATAACACTCAAGGCTGCAGGGGTCCTGCAAAGGTGATCTAGGGCGTCCCAAAAGACAGTGACTCAGGCAGGGCCGAGCCGGCCAGCAGAGACTCCAGACAGCATCTGCTGGGGCCTTTCCCTCCCCTCTGAGCCTCAGCCATCGGCAGGCCCAGGAGGCCCAGGAGGCAGGAAACCCCAGCCAAGAATTTGGTCATGATGCCCTCACCACAGGCAACCTCTCCTTAAACAGCACAGAAGAGTAGGATTATCAACCAAAACCCACGTCAAAGTGAGGCTCAAATTACAGGTCCTGAATGGGAGGCCAGGGCTTAAGATCCATGTGCAGCTTGAAGTGGGGTCCAGCAGCCTGCGTTGGTACATCGAGCCCCAGAAGAGACCCAGGGAGCGCCTTCCGCCTCTCCCACCACGCAAGGCATCGACTTCTTTCCAGGCAGCCACTGGGGCGTCGGGTGTGGGCAGTCAGTCACGTGTAGGAGATTATTCCGTGAGGATAACAGCTCAGTCTGTGGCCTGCTGGAGAGCCAAGAGGAAGCTGGGCTGTGTCCTCCTGGCTTCCGCCCCAGTCATCTCAGGTTCTCTAGACTCTGTTGGGGTCTTTTGGCGTGAGTGGTTTTTCCGGCAGACACCCCGCTCCCACCTTGCCTAAGCCGAGTGCATTCCCACCATTCCGTCCCCTGGGATTCTCAGAGGCAGCACGCTCAGGACAGCTGTTTACAGCATTTGCAACCACAGAAATGGCAGATGACGAGGGCTACCTTTGAACTCAGCCAGGGGCAAATGTGTGAATCCTTCTTGTCCTCTTGCAGACCATGTCTCGGTCGGAGGACTCGGGGACAGCTTTTATGAATATTTGATCAAGTCCTGGTTGATGTCTGCCAAAACAGATACGGAGGCGAAAACTATGTACTATGAAGCCTTGGAGGTAAGAGGTTTCCCCTGCTGCCCGGGGCGGCTGTCACCCTCCCCCACCCTTCCACCAGCCTGAGTGCTGGGAGGGGCCGCAGAATGGGCAGCGGTGACTGGAAAGGCCTCCTCGGACTCTAGAGACATCTCAGAGGCCTGGGCTCGGCCGGGTCAGGCCATTTTTCCGGGGTCTGATAGGAAGTGACAGTCCGATTTAGAAGGCTCAGTTTAAACCCTCCCCCCAGCAGTCTCTGGGCTTCAGCTAATGTGCCAAAGCCCAGATGACAGCCAGGAATCCCCTTGGGGGCTCCAAGGCGAGGTCTTCAGCTGTCATTCTGGAAACCAGAGGTGGCACTTCAGGAAAGAGAGTGACAGCCAGGACAGGGGGCCACACACTCCTGCTCATCCTCCCCATGTGGGTGCGAGCTGAGATTCGGAGACAGGACACTTGCCCAAGGCCACACAGTGCTGAGGTAGCAGAGCTGGTGTCCCCGCTGGTCTGTCATGGGGTGTGGAGCGAAGGGGGAGTGGCAGGCTGGAGTGAGTCCCCCTCCTAACCAAGAGAGGAAAACTTAGACTAGGAAAGGGAAGTCGGGTAGCTGTGGATGCTCCACCATTGAGCCCAATTGAAGGGAAAGTGCATGCAGGGGCTGGAGAGATGGCTCAGTGGTCACAGCACTGGCTGCTCTTACAGAAGATCGGGGTTCACTTCCACATGGTGGCTCACAACCACCTGTTACTGCAGTTCCAGGGGATCCGATGCCCTCCTCTGACCTCCCTGGGCACCAGGGCACGCACACAGTTCATGGGTAAAACACTGTGTATGAGTAAAACACTCATACACAGAAAGCAAAACTAATGAATAAAAAATGTTGGTTTGCTTTTTTGAGACAGGGTTTCTCTGTGTAGCCCTGAGTGTCCTGGAACTCACTCTGTAGGCCAGGCTCACAGAGATCTGCCCGCCTCAAGTGCTGGGATTAAAGGCACTCGCCACCACCCTAGCATGGGCAGGCTCTGGGCCCCAGCTTTCTCATGAAGTTAGCTGGATTCTTTGTCCAGCCTCCTCGCTCTGAAACATCACCTCATGTCCTTTAACTTGAGCTCCTTCCTCCACCTCCACCCTCTCTCTAAATCAGTTCCTAGACAGCTCCCCTTACTCCTAGCCTTAGCCATGTGGGTGAGCCTCTCCTTCACCCGCTGGGCCCCTGCTGACCAGGACTGTGTCAGTCACCAGTCAGTCATCACTTCCCTCTGGCCCCTCTGCTTTCTCAGATGCACCAGGCCGTCCCCACTCCAAGGCCTTTGTACTTGCTGCCTCTCTACCCAGAATGCTATTCAAACGGCCAGGTCCTTTAGACTGCCCCACCCTTCACTCATGCGCTGCTGAAACGACCTTCCAGGCCTCTCTGTCCCATATCCAGGCTTATTCTCTCCTTCACTCGTAACGGAATCTGAAATGGTAGCTTGGCATTTGATCCTCCGCAAATACAGTGTGAGTTCTCGAGAACCGACAGTCCTGTCTCCTTGTTCACCCCATACGCCTCACACCTCAAGCAGATTGGCACGTGGTAGGCATGCGGTGATCGTTACATGAACAAGTAGGTGCTGGGTGATGGATAAGGAGAGTGAGTGGGTGGATGGGTGAATAGACCTGAACAGTTGCATGGAGGGGTGGATGAGTTCAATTGATTGATATAGACAGTTGGACAGATGGATGGATGGACAGATACACGGGTGGGTGGATAGATGGGTGGGTGTATGGATCATGGGCAGATGGGAACAGTTGGGTGGATGGGGTAGATGGATGGACGGATGGATATATGACTGGATAGGTGGATTGGTGTGGGCAGCCAGACGGGCGAACGGATGGATGGACTGATGGACAGATCGGTGGCTGGATGCACGCGTGGATTGACGTGAGCAGCTGGAACAGTGTTGGATGAGTTGGTGGGTAGACAGATGGACCGATGGGTGGACCAGTAGATGGATGGAGAGCACGTTGATGTGGCCAGTGGGATGGAGGGATCCTTGCACGGCTGAGTTGATGGGCAGATGGGCGAAGTTAGATATGGATGGATGGATGGATGGGTGGCTTGAGGAATACATGAGTGGGAGATGGGTGAATTAAGGCGAGCAGATAGGCGGATGTGTTGGGGAAGGGGCAGACTGGTGTGAACAGTTGGATGGATGTGTGGATGGACAGTGGCTAAGCACCATTTGATGGCAGGAGCCTGCCCAGAAACGGCAGAGCTTACAGAAGCACACTGACAGACCTCCAGAGCCGTGGACCTCTTAAAACTGTGGGTTGGAAAATCTCAGGGGTGAGATTTCTCTGCCTGGCAACCTAACACCAAGCTCTGTGTCATGAGACGGTCGATCTCACCCACTTCATCTCGGCCCTGTCTGCCCTTGGCCTGGGCCAGCATCCCCTGGTGGAGGAATAGTTTCTCCTCGTCCTGCAGCTCTCTGCAGAGTAAGCATGAGGTTAACGGGCGCACTGACTCCCGGCCCTTAGGGGCACACCGTGGTTGCAGCTTCGAGGGGAGAGATGGCCATGAATTATTTAAGCAGTCTGAGAGCCTCAGAAAGCATGGCTGAGTAGAGAGGCCTCTGCTCCCGCATTTGATCTTCTGTAAGGAGCCTGGGGCCACAGGCCCTGGGTGAAGGGCAGGCCTCTGGCAGGTCTAGGCCTTTGAAGACTATTCTAGCCATCCTTAGCCTTCGGAGACTCAGACCTCTTCTCCGGCTATATACCAGCAATAGTGTCTGAACCTCTGGGGTGGCCCAGGAATGGTTCGGTGGAGCTTCCCAGAGATCTCTGCGTAAGCCAGGGCTGGGAACCTGCAGGTTCAACCTGTGCCCAGGTGGGGTGGGTAGGAGGGTTCAGCCCTCCCCCCCAGATGCTCCTTTGTGTGTTGTAAGAAGAGGGCCTGTAAGGAAGCCAGGGAGGACCTCATCACTGTGACTTCCTCTAGACAAATATACTCCACCTTAATGAAATGGAGACTCGAAAGGCCTAGACTCACCAAGATGCCCGATGCTGACCCGGCTGTTCCCGTCTGCCCTGGCTAGCTGCAAATGACTTGGGTCCCTGTAGGAGGACCCGCTTGGGTGGGCTTCCCAAGAGGCATGGGAAGGAACTGGCTGAGACAGGCACCAAGCCAGGTCACAGTGCCCTCCTCTTCCTGTGAGCTTGTATTCCCGGTCTACAGATGAGCAAAGTGAGTCTTCAGGAAAGCCGGAAGTGGCTCAGAGACACCCAGACACCTCACACCACCACCACCAAACTCAGCCCCTCCGTGCCGTGTCTTGTGACTTGAGCCTTGTCCTGGTACCCCACCAGCAGCAGCCTGAGTCTCACTCCTGGCTTTAGCCCAAGCTACAGGAGAGGGCTCGCTGCATTCAGGTGGGTGACCTGAGTCCCCCCAGAACCTACTGAAGAGCTCAGCCTGGTGGCGGGTGTCTGTAATCTCAGAGCTGGGGAGGGGGGAGGCAGAGATGGGGGTTCCTGAAGGGCCTCTGAGCTGGAGGCCAGCCTGGTCTACAGAGTGAGCTCCAGGATGGCCAAGATTACACAGAGAGACCCTGTCTCGAAAAACAAAACAAACAAACAAACAAAAACCCCAAGGTGGGCAGCCTTTGAGGAATAGCTGTGGCTGGCCTCCGGGCTCCACATACGTGTGCACACATTTCAAACACCCCCACACATACACCGGTGCCCACAGGAACGTGCACATATGAACACACACGGGGAAGGAAACTGGACACTTCTATCTCCACCTCTGCTCGCCTCTGTCATAGTCTGAGACACTGAGCTGCACTTCCCTCCGAGAGGCAGCTACCCAACCTGTGGGAGTGAGTATAGAGAGAGCTGTCTCCCAGCCCCACGGCATGGCATCCCGGCATCTCCCCACACGTCTGTTTCATCACCCCCAACACATAGGTAGGTCCTGGGGCCCTGGATTCGCCCAGATGCCCCTGCAGTGACCCTTCACAGAGCAGCTGCCGGGAGCCCGCTCTACCCAGGAACCAGCGCTGAGCCCGGATGGGCCCCACCTAGCAGCTGGTGGCACTTTGGGCCTCAGCATGCTCCCCATGTGGAGCCTGGTGCCCTAGCAAGGCAGCTCATCAGCCTTTCCCCATCTGCCACTCAGCAAGGGTCCTGCAGCCAGCCGCCCAGCCCTGGCCCTGACAGGAGAGAAAAAGGAAAAAAAAAAAATGGATCCAGAAGCCAACTCCATCTCCATGGGCCAGGTCCCGGCTCTGGCTGGCGGCTGTGTCAAGCGACACTCCCATAAGGGGGTGAAAACACCGTACATAGTGGAGAGGCAGGAGGAGGGAGACCCCTCCAAGGATGGTGGCACGCTGGAGGAGGCCTTCCGGGGCTCAGCATGCAGGGTGAGGGAGCAAGAGACCCCTCCGGCCTCGCTCTGCAAAGCCAAGCACCCACACTTTCCTCTCTTCCTGTCTGCTGAGCACAGTCATTTCTATGTGCGTTTAAATCTCTGCGCCCAGAGCGAGGCCCATCCACAGTGCCACTGTGTCCCCAGCCCTTGGTCCCCAAAAGACCCTGGTCCTCTTGGGATATCCAAACAGAGAAAAGACCAGTGAGGCGGGGAAGGATGTGGGTAGAGGGCGGGGGACAGGCTGCAGAGGACTCATGGGTGGCATTTGTTGGGAACTCCGGTACAAAGAGACAAAGCTGACGTGGCACAGAGAGCACACGTAGCTTGCCCGGTGCCACACAGCACAAGTGAGATCTGAAAAGAGATCTGAACTCACAGAATGTGTGCCCGGGAGTCAGTTTAGAAAACTGGTTGCACCTTGGGGCCCAGATGAGGGTGCCTGCGAGGCCTAGTGAAGCCCTTTCTACAGTGGTGCTAAGACTCTCTTGAGGTTGCCCAAAGGCCTGTGATATGATCCACTTCATTTCAGAGTAGAGGAGGGCCACCATGGAGGCAGAGGACAGTAACGTCCCCGAGGGGCCTCAGTTAAAATCAGGACTCACAGGCCTGTGGAGGCCAGCTTCGGACCGTGCGGGCAGCATCCAGCTTCAGAATTCTGGGAGCTGTCAGCAGGGAGCAGAAGGCACCCCAGCTCACGGTCACTTCTCCTTCGTACTAAAAGGAGCCTGCAGCGCTAGCAGAGGGGACAGAGCTTTCGTGACTGACCAGGCGGGAGAGAGCAGTGCTGAAGCCCCCGATGAGACACAGGGGCCTCCCTCCCACAAAGACGGAACCCCAGTGCCTTCTGGACACTTGGGGCCCTTATACAGGCCAGCAGCCTTGGAGCCAAGCCCTTCCAGAAGAGGGTGCAGCAGAGGCAAAGTTTTGTTGATCATCACTTTATTCGTCCTGATCGTTGTTGAGTTTGGAAATGGGAATCAGGTGCACAAGTTTGCACACAGGTGTTTTTACCTGCAGCTCTATCTCACTGATTCCCATTGGAAAGATTTTTTTTTTTTTTTTTTAAGAAAGTGTTCTTTAAAGCATTGATTTCTTTCAACCTTTAAAACTTGGTTTCGGGTTTCGGGGGTGTTTGTGTACCACGTGCGTGCAGTGCCTGCAGAGGCCGGAAGAGGGCGGCAGATTCCCCAGAACTGGAGTTACAGGCTGTTAGCTGCCCCCTGGGTGCTGGGAATGAACCTGGGGACTCTGAAAGAGCAGCCAGCGCTGTTACCCTCTGAACCATCTCTCCAGCCGCAAAACGTAGATTTAGAAGGCCTGTGTTGCATCCCAGCTCTCAGCAGGACCCCTTCGCTGGCTCTAGGGAACCGAGGGCCCTGCAGAGCAGCCATGCCACTGTTCCCTCGTAGCTCACTTGTTTCCTTCCCTTCCCTTCTCACTGTTTCCCGACGGAACTCTCCTCCCCCTTCCCAGGCCATAGAGACCTATTTGGTGAATGTCTCTCCCGGGGGCCTGACCTACATTGCCGAGTGGCGAGGGGGAATTCTGGACCACAAGATGGGACACCTTGCCTGCTTCGCAGGGGGCATGATCGCCCTCGGGGCCGAGGACGCCAAGGAGGACAAGAGGGCCTACTACCGAGAGCTTGCTGCCCAGATCACGAGGACGTGCCACGAATCCTACGCCCGCTCAGGTAACCCTGCAGGGGAAAAGCAGCACCCAACACCCGGCCAAACACCGAGAAGCACTGGCTGAGCAACAGAGCGGTGGGGGGGAGGGGCACTCTTCGTACCATCTCCCCCGGGAAACTACTAGAATTTGGGTGACAGGCAAGCCCTACCTGCACTGACTGTTTCATGTCCGGCGCCTAGAGGTGTCCCTACTGAGCCTCCCAGCACAGACAGGGAGTCCCAGGTTCTAAGGGGACTTGGCCAAGGTTCCACAGGAGGCAGGGACTGGAGGGTCCTCTAACACCCACGGGAAGATTGAACCCTGCGAATCTCCCGCCTGCAAGGGTACTTCTGCCTGTCCTCTCGCCCAGCGAGCTTAAATACACACCTGGCACTTATCAAAACAGAATAGTCCGTCTGGGGGCCATGAGCCCCAACCCTCCTTTTATGCTTGGTGACACGGTCAGCCCATAGAGAGGGAACTGTCCTAGAGAAAGTCCTTGTGAATGTGAGTGGCTGAGCCAGGCCCTGACAGCCAGGCCCGCCCCATCCCGGACATTCAGCCTCAGAGCCACGGTGGCGAGAGGTGGAGGAGAGATTGAGCTGTGCCGGGTGCTGAGAGCCAGTGCCTAAGCGGCCCTGCCAGAGGCTCTGACCGCCAGAGCCCAGCGGGGAGTCTCAGGGCTGGTCCTAGGAAATTACATCTTTCGTGCTGGGCCTGAAATCTGGCCCTCCATTCTCTTCTCCGGGCCGTAAACAAATGGGACGTCTCAGGACTGATAATACAGAGCTTGCAGTTTGTCTGGACAATCACCCAGGGCTGTAAAAGACAGCCGCTTAATGGAGCATATTGTCCCAACCAGCCCGGCTCCCCCGCCGGCTGCACAGCCACCGCCTCCCTCACCCCATTAGCATCTTGGCAAAAGCGCTGTTTCCCAGTGGCAGAGCCTTTCTGCCATCTGGGGGGTGCGGGGTAGAAAGAAGCTGAGCCCAGCTGACTCCTCAGAAGATAACCTCCCAAAGTGCCCAACAGGAGGAAATCCCCCACCCTGAGGCCTCCTGGGGGCCAAGGCCAGACAGGAGGGAGGGCATTCCCGGGATTAGAACTCATGCCCCACTAGCCTGGGCAGGTATGCAGGCAGGAGAGGCACAGCCCAGCTCAGCCTTGACTCACTGTGTGGCCTTGGATAAAATGCTTAGCCTCTCTGATCCTGTTTCTGCACAAATGAGAGAAGGATTGCCCTTAACAAAAAAAGAGAAAGGAAAAATTAAGGGCGATGATCGTGCAAAGCGCCTGGAGGAGCCCTTGAAATCACAAAGAGCAGCTGTGCTGCTCTTTGCCATTTTGGTCCTGCGGAAAAGAAAATGGCAGCAGACTGTCCACACACAAAACCTGGACCTCATCAGGCCCATCCCCCTCTGCCTAAGCAGGTGCTTTTCCGAGCTGCTGTCTTAGGCAGGGTTTCTACTGCTGTGATGGAAAACACAGTGAGCAAAAACAGCTTGAGAAGGAATTTACTTCATCCTAACAGTTTTCAGACCACACCCCATCGCTGAGGGTAGGCGGGGCGGGAACCCAAGGCAGGAACCTGGAGGCCGGAGCTGGAGGCAGGCCGTGGAGGGGTGCTGCTCACTGGCTTGCTCCTCATAATTTGCTTGGCCTGCTTTCTTCTAGAACCCAGGGCCACCTGCCCAGGGGTGGCAGCGCCCCTGTTGGGCTGGGCCATCCCCCATCAATCATCAGTTAATACAATACCCCACAGACTTGCCTCCAGGCCAGGCTGGAGAGAGGGCTCATTGATAAAGAGTGTCTGTTGCTCTTCCAGAGGACCCAAGTTCGATTTCCAGAAGCCACATCAGGTAGCTCACAACCACCTGTGACTTCAGTTCCGAGGGATCCGACACAGACACCGGCACTCTCGTGTACATACATAAGCATAATTAAAAATGAGTTTTAAAACATAAGATTTCCTCTTCCCAGAAATGTCTAGATTCTTGTCAGGTTTGACAAAAACTGACCCACGCTAATGGTCCAGTCACAGCCGTTTTCTTAGGTGGCTGTGGGTGTGTGAAGGGAGGGACTGGTGGCATATTAGCATAATGAAAGATCTGCTAAGTCCTAGACCCCAACTTTTTTTAGGGGAAGGGGCTGAGACAGGTCTCAAGATGTAGCCCTAGTTAGCCTACAACTCATGATGTAGACCAGGCTGGCCTCAAAATCAGAGATGAGCCTGCTTCCGCCTCCCGAGTGCTGGGGTTGCGAAACTGCTAAAGTCTTTAAGCTTCGAGGAGCTTGCTGTGGAGGCTGTGCAGCTTGACTGACGCAGCCTCGAGAGAGGCAACTGACAGGCCTGCCCCATCTCAGCACTCTGCCCCGGCCCGCTAGGTCTCCAGGGTTATCCTAGACAGGGTCTGAGGCGTAGAAAGTGGCGGTTGTGACGGGCTGCTGATCTGTTCCCACAGACACCAAGCTGGGGCCTGAGGCTTTCTGGTTCAACTCTGGCCGGGAGGCAGTGGCCACGCAGCTGAGCGAGAGCTACTACATTCTGCGGCCCGAGGTGGTGGAGAGCTACATGTACCTGTGGCGGCAGACGCATGACCCCGTCTACAGGGAGTGGGGCTGGGAGGTGGTGATGGTGAGTGTGGGCTATCGGGCGCCCCTGGGAAGCCACAGTCAGAGACTTCGGAACTCAGGGGCTGCCGGAAGGCAGCCAGGCCGTCCTCTGGCCAAGGACTGGAATGGTGGAGTTGAGCAGGAGGCAGCAGCTCTGGGGAAGTGTTCCTGAGGCAAGGCTGAGGTTGCTAAGGAGGGTCTCTGAGCAGACTCAAGGACAAGGCTGGTGGCCACCCCTAACGTACCATCTAGGTGCTCTGCCCCAGAGGCCCTGCTCCTGGCCCCAGAGCCTGCATGGGTTGCGTGAGGTGCCTCCTTTGAAGCAGGGACAGCGGGCAGCCAGCAGCTCACCCTGCTCGGTCTCTAGCAACCCTCCAACCCCCCACGGTCTTCCTTCCATCTCACTCATTAGAAGCCCGGCCCTCCCAGGGTGTCTCAGCCACTGTTGCTGCGAAGACACTCCATGTACACTTAATTGGAGGCTTTCTTACGGTTTCAGAAATTTGGTCCATTATCATCATGGCAGGGGGCTTGGCAGCAGGCATAATGCTGGAGTAGTGAGGGCTACATCCTGATCCACAGGCAGAGAGAGAGAGAGAGAGAGAGAGAGAGAGAGCGCCTGGGCCCGAGAAAAGCTCTTGAGATCCCCAGTGACACTTCTTTCTATGAAGCCACACCCACTCCAACAAGGCCACACCTCCTGATCCTTCTCAAAGAGTTCCGCTTTCTCCGCCTAAGCATTCAAATAGAGGAGCCTGTGGGCCCCATTCTTTAAAGTGCCACACAGGGCTAGACAGCAAAGACAAAGGTAGTGCTTCCAGAAAATTCTCTGATGGGTGCTACCTCTTCTGTCCCTCTTCCCACAAGCCCCTGGGCCCATGCCAACAAGAAGTCACCTGCTTTGGGGACAGGCTATCCTGGCAGTGCACACTCAGGGTGGAGGACTGGTTACATTTAGGATGAGTCCTGCATCTGCTTCCCTGAGGCCCTGGCTCCTGACCTTCAAAGGCCAAATGTTGTGTGCTCTTGTGCATCATGAGAGCAGACCGGGGGCTCATGCTGGATGTAGAAAAAAGCAGGAACAAGCATGAAAGGGTCCCCCAAAAGGCCTCTCAGCAGTGCCTCTATCTGAGGGGCCCCCAAATGGCAATGCATCCCATCAGAGCCTCCTCTGACTAGGTTGCTGAGGTGGGCTGTAATTCTGGTAAGATTTCGTGCAGTTGTCGGAGTGCCAGGTTTCTGAGGAGACCTTAGCCCCACACAACATAGGGAAAGGCCCCACTTTTTAAGAAGTCCAGAATATGCTCTTGTGGTTGGATTTCCAGGCAGCAGGGAAAGGGGGAAAGATCCATTTTGCCCTTTGTGACTGTAGCTGGAGCAGGTGGCCTGTCATCCCCAGCAGGGATGGCGGGGCTCCTGATCTCTGATCTCTGATCCAAACGCAATGAGCCAAACCACATTTCCGTGTGGAATGGGAGGCCCACATCCACCCTGACACTGAAGCCTTGTCTCCAAAGCCTCCAGGCTTCCGTCTCTGCTTTCTGGATCCCAGCAGCCCCTGCAGATCACCAGCGACCGTCCTTGACCTCATCACCTCTGTGGTGAAAGGGTCAGTGAACAGGTTACCCAGGTTCCTGAAAGGTGAAGTCGGGGCCAAACTCTGACCAGGGAAAGCTCAGTTAACCAGGAAAGTATCAGGGCTGAGTTCCCAGAGTGGGTGGGTGCCGGACCCCCAGGCGGCCAGCCAAGGGTCAGGGCCTTTGTGGTGTTGAGCTCCAGCCAAGCATCTCCTCCACGAGCTAAGGCTGCCCCCTTCCTCCAGGCCCTGGAGAAACACTGCCGGACGGAAGCCGGCTTCTCCGGGATCCAGGATGTGTACAGCAGCAACCCCAACCACGACAACAGGCAGCAGAGCTTCTTCCTGGCCGAGACACTGAAGTGAGTGTAGCTCTCCCGGGGTCGGGCCCTTGGCTCCGGCATCACGGAAAGGGAGCCCATTTGGGGTGGAGGCTTAGGGTCCCCAGTGCTACGCAGCAGGCTGAGCCTAATTCTTCCCAAGAGCCACAGCGCTGCCCACAGCTGTGGCTTCTCAGACCCCTTTACCTGGTCCTTTGCCACTCAGCTCTTCTGAATAAAAGTCAGGCTCCACGTGACCTCTGTGACCTCTGTGACCTCTGCAGCCCAGCTTGGAGTGCTTGGCAGTCTCCTGCCGGCTTCTGGCACAGTCGGCTGCCCTCCTCCCTCACCCCCATCCCCGCTACTCTCAGATGCTGGGCTATGCCCACATTGGTGGTCCCTTCTAGGAAGTCCCCACCCAGGAGGCTGGAGTTAACACAGCCGGCTGCCTGGATGCCCTTCCGGAGCTTAACGGTAGCTTGAAATGGGTGCAGACACTAGGCTACTGGACCAAGAGTCTAGATGCCAAAGTCTGCAGGGCCCCTCGGGGCAGGGCGGTCAAGCCAGGATTAAACCAGGTCTTCAGGCCCCAGGCAGGCGGCCCTCCTCCTCCCCCAGGGCACTAACTGCTCTCCTTCCCTCCCCCGCCACACAGATACCTCTATCTTCTGTTCTCTGAAGATGACGTGCTGTCGGAGGAGGACTGGGTGTTCAACACCGAAGCCCACCCACTGCCCGTCAACCACTCCGACAGCTCGGGCGTGGCTGGGCACCGCCACTGACCCACCGTCCCCGTGCCCGCGTCTCAGGGATGCCTCTCCTTTCTTGGGATCCGGGACCGTTCTCAGAGCGCTGGGGACGGGAGGCCCACGGCGGGCAGCCCCTGGGCGGACGCGTCAGACGGGCGACTTGTTTTTCCTCTGTGAGGAGACAGGAGCAGGTGATGCAGCAGCATGGCCCGGGCAGCCGTCCCTGGGGCCCGCACGTTCCTTTCCACGGGGGAACTTCTGCGCCCCCACACTCGCTGTCACAGGGCCAAAGGACTTGAGGGTTGCGTGACCACCCCATTGTGTTTGATTCGCTTCCTTTTCGGTTCCCGGAGTTCGGTTTCGCTGGATTTTGGCTTCGTCCCCTCCCGGCTCCCATTTGAGTTTTCTGACGATTATAAATATAATTTTCGAAATCATGCGCCTTCCGAAACTGCACCGCCTAACTCAAGGGGGCCGTGAGCGTCCCGTACACGCGCGCTCTTGACCCGTCCATCTCTTATCGCCTGTTACCCAACCTTGCCCCTCCCACCCAGTGTCATTTACTTTATCATTCGAGGAGGCGCCTCCCTTTGATTTGGTCCCAAATGTTACAAATCACTAATGCTATTTTCATTACTGTAATGGAAAAATATGTGACTAGAATAAAGGACTCTATTGAATAAGAAATGAGGTTGGACTCCTTGGCCGCCAGTGGCTCCTGGGAAGAGCGCTACAACAGTGTCATAGGAACAGCCACCAGCCGGGAGCCCAGCCAAGCCGACCCGAGCCAAGGTGTGGTTTAGTAAATGGGTCCAGCTTCTTCTCTGACTCTCCCTTCGATTGGCCCCCTAGATGCAGGAAGCATGAGGCCGGCCCTTTGGGTAGAGTTGGGTGTGCATGCTCTGATGGAGGATTGGGAGAAGCCCAGAGAGGTGAAGCTGTTGGCCTGAGGTCACACAGCAAGGCAGAAGCGAGCCTTGCCTCTGGGACCTTCTGGCCCCCCCCGTCCTTTGTTCGTCTGCTGTCGACCAGCGATGCATGCTGAGCGCCTGCCTCGACCAGGTGCTGCAAGGCCGACCAGAGACAAAGTGGGCAGTGAGGTGGCCACCACCCCGAAGTCAGGGGGCTCAGGTCATGCGGTGCCCCTGGGTCAGTGGAATGACTGCAAATACCAACAAGAAGACATGAGGCTAAGCCAATGATAGCCAGGATGTGGCTCAGGGGTTAGGGACGACAGGGTGACTTTTAAGCCAAGATAAATGGAAGCTGTAGGAAAGGGTAATGGGGTAAGGTCTGCCAACCCAGACCCCCCCTTCCCACCCTCCCTGGGCCCATCCCCTTTGTGACCCCAAAGGCCATCTGCATGGCAAGGAGCTAGGCCCCTACCCTGAAGTGCCACTTGCAGCCTTGCCACGGCGGAGGTCCTGGGTAGTGCTGAGTCTTTCCCAGCCCCTTTGTCAGACTGTGCTTGTCAATCGGCCATCAGGGCATCGGGGCTCTGGGCCTAGTGACCCCTTTCCCCACCGTGTGAGCCCAGGCAAGTCACCTCACCTCTCTGGGCTCTTTCTCACCAGCAGAAATTCTATCTGCTGAGGTTGCCATGGGAACCAGTGCGATGCTCCTGACCCCCTATGGTCCAGGAGACATTGCCCCCTTGTTATGGAGGCTCAGACCCCCAGTCCTTCCTGAGCAGAGGCGTGCACGCAGAGCCCTGGTAGTAGGAACTCCGGCCCGCAGAGTGGCAGCCACGAGTTTTTATCAGGTGTCACAGAAGAGGGTCTCCTGCTACCCACAGCACGCATGTCAAAGGAAGGGAGAAACTCGCTGCACACTGTAGGACAATTAAGACGCTGATATAATCAGAAAGAAAATAGGGTCACCTCGCTACTCTCTGGAAAAAATACTGTTATATTTTCTTCTAGACCTTTTTCTATGAATATATATATTTTTTGCAAACATGGCAGCAGCCTATGCATATGGTTTTCTTGTAACCCAGCTTTTGCACCTCACTATATATTGTGAACATCTTTCCGTGTCAACAAATATGCACGTATGTGTCGACACTCTTCCTGGTCACGTAGTTTCCCACCGTGTGCCATCCCATGCGGTGTGTGTGTCACATCCTGGTTCGGGGTATTCGGGTTTGTGTCTTCCGGGGCTCTCGGTTACAACTTAAACTAAAGCATGTATTGTCTTGCTAGTGAGTGGCTCCTGGGATCTTGGGAGTGAGGGAACAGCCAGGCCTTAAGAAGGACAAGAGAGCTGAAGAGATGGCTCCCTGGTTGTGTGGTTAATCCTTACGTTCTCGAAGAGGTGATCCCTGGCGCCCATGTCAGGCAGCTCACAGCCACCTGTAAGTCCTTCCCTACCGGACCTGTCACCTTCTGGCTCCCACAGGCACCCACACACATATGGCAGACTCGCAAACAGACACACCCACACATACACACAAATTATTTTTAAAAAGACAAGAATGAGGATTTGGTGGCCAAGGTTCCTCCGAGAGCCAGGGGTAGCCTTCCAGGTCCCCAACAGGATGGCTGAGGCCAAAGTACCCAAATCCCACTCTGTGCTTGTTCCACTGGGCTAAGCCTGGGAACCAATGGCCCATAGCCAAGGGTGGAGAAGCATCTTGTTTGACAGATCCACCAAGGTCTGAGCATAGATGTTCATGGAGGACAAACGGGCTTCACTACCTACATAAGGGGCCTGGAGCTGAGTGGTAAGGAGAGGGCTGTGAAGAAGACCCTGGCTTCTCCTCCTCCCATAGTGCCCAGCTCTTCCCTGGATGGTGACACTTAGAATGTCTCTCCTGCCAAAGTCCACAGGCACCCTGCTGGGCCCATGTCACATCCTTGTCCTTTGCCTTTCTGCTGGGAGCAACTTGTGAAAATGGCTACTTTAACAGCCATCCTCCAGGAGGGCCCTTGCAGGTAGGGAAGTAGCATCTTCTCAGCCCTTAACACCACACCAGGGATAAAAATAAGGAAGGCTTGAGGTGGCTGACAACAGACAGGCTCTGGGGATGACTCAGACCCTGGAGGCAAGACTCAGGCTACCCTTCTCCACAGAGGCCCGCAGCTCCAGCCCATCTTCACCTCACCGACAGCTCAGGGCCTGCCTTGGAGTTTTCCTCACCACCTGCCCAGGCCCTGAGCCCTACAGTAGCACGGTAAGCAGAGGGCATAGTCAGGCCGAGCTACCTCCATCAAACCAGCTGTGTGTGTTCAGATGGCCAGATGTGCTGGTGGTGTGGGAGGCAAGACTGGCAGCTTGATCAGTAAGGCACTCAGTGCACAAGCGGGAGGATCTGAGTTCAGATCTCACGTACCCACATAAGGGCCTCACTGGGTGGCACTGGGTAATTCCCAGAGCTGGGGGGAGGAGAAGTGGGAAACTGGTAGATTCCTAGAACTCACTGGCCAACCAATCCAATCAAATTACTGAGGTCCAGGGAGAGACTCTGCCTCAAAAATATGATAGAGTGGAGGCCAGAGAGACGGCTCAGGGGTTAAGCACATGCGCTGCTCTTCCATGGGCCCAGGCTTGATTATCAGCAGCTCTGTTGGCAATTCGTAGCCACCTGTATCTCCAGCTCCGTATAATCCCGAGGCCTCTTCTGGACTCCTTGGGTACCCGAACTCACACAGACACACAGACGACACACAGGAAAATAAAGGAATTTTTTTTTTTAATGGTGGAGAGTAATAGAGGAAGATCCTCAGTGTTAACCTCTGGCGCCCACACACGTATGCCCACGTGGGTGCATGCACGCATGTACATGCTTGCACACAAGAGTTTGTGCACATACACACACACACAAGGCAAAACTGGAGCTCCCCTGAGGTCAAGATGGGGTTCTCACGCCACGGTTACAGACCAGTGACAGAGCATTATCTTAACTTGAGCTAGGCCCTGGGTTCCAATTCAGCACCTTCCATCATGCTATCACTTGGGGGTGTGGCCATCAGTGTGTGATGGGGCCACAGCTGCCCCTGTACCTTCAGGTCACACGACACTGAGCTGAGTGAGCCCGCCTGACTGACTGAGCTCCCTCATTCACTGGCTGCCAGCGGCAGAACCCTGGGGTTGCTCGGCTGCAAACACGCTCGGTTCCCTCAGTTTGCTTCAGTGTCTACACCTGCCCAGCTTGGCTCCCGGATCAGAGCTTCTCAGGGTAAACGAGCACCTTCAAACGTTGTTAAGGAGCAGGGCTGGTGAGATGGCTGGCGAGTGGGTAAGGAGTCTGCCTCCCAAGCGTGAGTACCTGAGTTCAGAGCCCCGGAACCCATGTGAAAGCCTCGTCTCAAAAGGTTGAGTGCAGCTGAGGGAGATGCCCTGGCACACACTCAGGCACACACTCACACCCCAGAGCAGGCTACTGTGGGATGAATGCATCCTGGCTCTGAGCAGACAGGCCCTGCTCTGGGGAGGTACCCCGTGATTGGCTGGTTCCCCTTTGCACCCCAGAAGCTTCCTCTGTTTCAGCAGGGCTGGGGTGCATTGGGGTGACCTCTCTAGGTGCCTGCCCTGTAGGCAGGGGGAACCGACAGCAGGGGGAGACAGAAGCAGGCAGCTGGTGGCTGGGCAGAGCCAGAGGGATTTCCTGAGGCTCTGTGGCCCGGGACTGGGACTGGCCGAGTGCCTGGGAGATGAGGCCCTGCAGCAGGTGTGACAGAACTACAATCTTAATTTTTTTTCATTTCAATTTGCGCAGCCACATGTGGTTGCGAGTTGCCATTTAGCCGACACAGGATTAGAGTGTTGAAAGCAAGTGTCCTCCTCAGACCCTGCCAGGCCCTCAGGCTCAGCTCTCCGCTGTGTGTGTGTGTGTGTGTGTGTGTGTGTGTGTGTGTGTGTGTGTGTAAATCTTAGCACAAAACATTCTGTTTGGGATGGCAAGTGTCCCCTGGTACACAAGCGATTATTTTTATACTGTTTTCTCTCCTTTGACTCTTTGCCAAGCACACCCCTGGGTTTTGTCCCATTTTGGCTTTTCTTGCTCACAGTTTATCTGCAGATGGTGAGGTAGGTCAGGGGGAAGCTGAGGAGGCACCTCATCGGTGCTGGGTGGACCTGTGTTCAGCTGTGCCCCGTCCTGGGCTCTGTGGCCTTGGGCAACTTCCTAACTGCTCTGAGCCCAGCTTCTCAGCTGGTAGAAACACCCCATCCTCTGTAGGAGCGCAGCAGCTCACAACAATGACAGGTGCTGTCGTTACTATGCCAACGCCTCTGTAAACTGTAGAGCCTCGCTTAAATGTGAGGCAAGGCACTGACGTCAGAAGGTCTCCTTTTTAAACACGATGCTTTGAAACTTGGAGAAAACAGCACAAAGCAGGCCCAGGAGTGGGAACAAACTCTCCAAGCAATAAATCCAAATGCTTTTCTGCTTTTCTCATTGAGCGAGCGTTTGCCATTAGCCCCGAGTCAGTTGAAGTTGGGAAACCATAATGATGGTTTGCTGGCCGTCCAGGGGCTCCAGCTGAAGTCAGGTGGAGGCCAGGCGGGCGCTGACTACCACGGAGGGAAAGCACTGCCCGGAGGCCCCTCCACCTGGGGGGTGCTGGAGGCCCAAATCATCCTGGCTCTAGGTCCTTTCTGCTGCTTTGGGAGAGGGGAGAGGTAGGAAAAGGTAACACCTCAGCTGCAGAGAGGTAGGTTGGCTGAGGCCAACTGTCCCC